AGATATTATTAGAATTTGAAACTTTGTTTTGTAGTCTAATAGTAATATAATTTGTATTTGAGCACTGACAAGACTGTTAAAGAATAAAAATAAAAATAAAAATAAAATAAAAAATAAGTAATTACGCCAATTTCAAGTAAATATCCAGTAATTTTTTTTTATTATGAACATATCATTAAATTGATTAAGAGATGATACCGATACTATTTATAAATTTATTAAAATTTTTACAATATTGATTAAATGATTAATGATTTATTATAATAATTGCTGCCTAAAAGATTGTAAAAATTAAGTGTATTGATAAATTTTTGATTTTAAATAAAAATTCAAACAATCTTTGCTTTATAAATCAGTAAAGCTACCTGTCTTAGTTCGCTATAATCTTAATTTCTAATAATAATAGTAGCCGGCTTGATATATTCAGTTAGAATTTATCAAGTAATGTTCTGTTTGTCTTTTTCAACCCCAATTTCATATTTTTAGCAACTAGCAAAGCTGATTATTCCATTCGGATTATTTATATCTGTTGATTCTTTGATAATAAAAGTTAGTTGATTAAAGGCATTAACAAATTAGATAACAATATAGAATAATATTCAAATACCTTTCTAATATCTTTTTCAACTTCTATTCCATTTTCATAAAAATGTTTGACAGGATTTATTCTATCTACATGCTCCATATATGCAAATTTTTGATAATATTTAAATGCTTCTTTTAAATCTTTTTCAACTCCTATTCCATTTTTATGAAGCACACATGTGCATTATTAGAAATATCAGGTTTAGAAAAATAACCTTTATTTCTAAATAACATGCAAGTGGCATTATTTTTACATTTAAATGAATTTTATATAATTGAAAGAAGTTAGCTGTCTGTAAAGAAATTAATAAGCTTATTAAATACATTTAAAAATATCTTTGCGATAGATAGATCCTAAATATTTGCCGTAATTATAAATACCAATTGAGCTCAACAGTAGACATGCAAATATGGATGATTATGAAATAATAGATAATAATGAATATTATTCTGATGAATATAACTATGAAATTGTGGAAGGTTCAAGAATCTCAGCCAAAGCTAAAACATTTTTATCAGCAGCTACTACACCTAGTGTTTAGACAACATATTTTTCTAAACTTTCAGATAGCAAAAATAAAGGTAATAAATAAAATTAGTAATAAGCTAGAGATTTAAATAGCTAAGCATTTATCATTTTTTTTAGCTAAGGAACCCACAAAAAAGAGACTATACAAACACAAACAACCATCATTTACTCAGGATTATTTTGATAAGACAGTAAATGAAAAGGTAAAGAAGTATAAGTTTGTAAAATTCTAAATAAAGAAGGTCAAAAATGCAATACAGAATATAAAAGTATAGGAAGTTTGACAGAAAACCTAATTATACATCTTAGAGATAACCATGAGATTATTTTGCAAGATGGAGAAATTTTAAAAAAAGGTATAAATAAAATAGTAAAAATAAACTCTGAATTAATTAAAAACCTTGTTTTTTTTTTAAAAAAAAAAAAATACTAATGTTTTTTAGCCATAAGATTCCAAGATCACTGATTTTGCACGGAAAGTTTATCTTCATCCTCAACATATTCAAAAAAAACAAGAAGAAGCACTTCTCAAATGAATGTTACATTCAAACCAGCCTTTTTCCACTGTTACAAACAAAGTATATAAAGAAAAAATGACTGAATTTGACCCTGCTTTTATTATTCCAGGAGAAAAAAAAATTAGAACCATGATCACGAAGAGTTACAATTACAACCAGGAGAGTTTACAAAACCTTATTCAAAGTATCGAAAATATTTTACTTACAACAGACCTCTGGTCCAGCAAGGCTAAGCATGGATATTTTGGAATTATAGTAACATGGATTACACCAAGTTTTGAAATTAAGAATGTAATACTAGAAAACAAATATGTTCTCTTACCACATACAAGTAGAGTTATTGCTGAAGAACTTCACAAGTGTATTGTATCTTGGAACCTTGTAGGTCGTATAATGTCGATTATTACTGACAATAGATATAACATGGTTTCTTTTCCCTTGCTAAATCAGAAAGATAAATGTGAAATATTAAGCACCTTTCATGCTCAGCTTATACTCTTTAGTTGGCAATTGGAAAAGGACTAGCACTAGCAGAGATTCTAGTAGCACACTCAAGAAGATTAATTCAGTTCTTCCAATATCAAAAGCAGGTTAAACGATTAGAAGCAGTACAAAAAAAACTTGGTTATACAGATGTTTTGTGCTGTATTCAAGATATATCCATGCGTTGGAATTCTCTTTATTATACTTGGGATCGTCTTTTTTTCCTAAAGGATGCTATTATTCAACTTCAAACCGATTTATTTACTTCACTTGATCGAGAAATAAAATAGGATAGTAATAAATTAAAAAGGATACTTCTTTCTGATGATGAATGGGAGTTATTAGATCAACTTATTGATTTACTAATACCATTTGAAGAGGCAACAAGAGAATTTTCCAGAAGCATATATGTTATGTTAAGTAAAGTCATTCTGACTATTAAGGAAATGATTTTTAATTTAGCATGTGAAATACCATCTAGTAATGACCTTTTTTTAGATGAATATACTGTATTTGAATCAGATGCCAAAAATATGCAGCCTATTGATTGTAACAATAATAAAATTATTAGTAATATTACAAAAAAAAAATTTTAATTAAAAATCCATTAAACACGACAGGTATTTTAGAAGAAGTAAAGCAAAATATTTATAATATATTAATCTGTTATTGGAACGATCCAAACAATCTTGGTTTGATAGCAGCTTTACTAGATCCGTATCATAAAAGCTTGGATTTTGTAGATGACAATGAAAAGCAACTTACTATTTAAAAGCTTTGTGATGAATTAAGCGAATTAGAAGAACTAATATCTGAAGTATTAATTTATCTAACCTCGATTAATACAGAATCTTCAATATAGTCACATAAAGAATATCTTTAACAGTGCCAAATGAAAAGAAAAAAAGATAAATTGGTGCTGGACCTGCAAGCTTTTAATGAAATATCAACCTATCTATCATTTTTATTAGCATTAAATACTAAAGACCCTCTAGAGTGGTGGAAAATGCATTCACTTAAGTTTCCAAAACTTACCAGAATAGCTTGAAAGTACTTTGCAATACCGGCTACATCAGTTTCAAGTGAAAGATTATTTTCCGATGCTAGAAACTTGATTAGTCCTAAAAGAACAAGCTTGGATCTGACTTTAGTGGGTCGTATATTGTTTTTAAAGAGGAATATAAATGCAATGCAGGTTTTTGCACCAGAATGGGGCAATGAAACATAAATAAAAGTAGTCAAAAAAAAACCCTATTTGAATAATACTTGAAATAAGCTAAAGGTGGCAATTTAGGTATTCGAAGTTAAAGTTTTTTCAAAATTTTATTTGTAATAAAATCTTATCATACATAACAATAATAATATAAAAAAAAAACTATACTTATTTAAAATAGAATGTTGTTAGTTTTATATATTATTTTAGAACAGTTCAATGAATAATTTGAATTACTAACTTTAAATTATATAATAGTTTCTAAATTTTCTGAATCAAGGAAGTTGTTTGCGTTCAATACTGTAACATGTTAATTTAAGTTACAAATAGGTCAGTAAAGTAAAAAGAAAAAGAACAAAGTGATTCCAATAAAAGAAGCATGTCTTATTATACTTGGTTGGTTTCAATTTACTTCTTTTTTCTATGACACAAACGCAACACTGTACGTGTATGACATCTGATATTACTGTAAATATTTTGTTAATATTAACCAATAAGAATTATTATATTTGCGTCACATGTTAAAATAATACGGATTATAATCCGAATAACCTCTAACCTCAATCTGAAATATATTACAGATCTATTCGCTTTAAATTGACAAATAAGGATATCCATATTTAATTTGAATTGTCGGATTAATCTGAATTAGTCGGATTACGGATCAAAGCTCTAACTTTCATTGTAACTGAAATAACACTTATGATAATAAATTACTATTAACAAAGAGATCATTTTAATACTAAAAAAAAATATAATAAATTATTAATTATTTAATTGATATTGTAATCAAAAAAAAAAATTAATTTGTAAATTTTAATAAATTTATAAATAACATTGGTATTATCTTTTAATTAATTTAATAATATGAAATTTTTTCTGATGATTACTAAACCAAAATTTGTTGGAGAATTGTAGCCTACTAGTGGTTTGTCTAGAGGTTAACTTTTTGCTGTACAGGAACTCCTCTAAAAGAAATATTTGGTATACAAGCCAAGAGCATTATTATACAAAATAACTAGCAAAGGTATCTAGAACTTCAAAGAACTCTAATACAATTTATATGTTTTCAAAAAAGAAAATTTTGCATAGAAATTTATTAAACATTGCATTTTTATATAGTAAATTTTTTAAAATTTGCTCTATTTTATATATCTATTTGGCTGAAATTATACAAACTTTATACAAACTTAGATCTAGGTTGTATTAAAGATCTTTGAGGTTCTGGTGCTTTTGTATAAAAATTCTTGGTAGTGAGTAGAAACTTTATCCTTTGGCAATAACTGGCACTGTCAACGAAGCTTGTAGGCTATTACTTTGAAGAAAAATACAAGAAAAACAACAAAATTTACTTTGCTCTTAAGTTGCACTCCTTTTTTTGTCTCAAATAGCTTCTCTATTACTTTTTTCACCTTTTTGCCGGTCTTTCAAAAAAAAAACTTCAAAAAAAGTGAGGATTTGGCTTACTCTCTCTAAAAAATTAGCATTATTTACATTTCAAATTTGGACAAACTTAGTAGAATACAACTATGTATTTTGTTTACCTGTGGATACAGTACTACTCCACGTAACTTGAATCAAAGTCTTTGGTTAAAGAGATATCTGAAGCTGGTCAATAGTTAGACAGTATATTTATTTAGATTTTGTGTTATATTAAAGATATACAATCATAGTTGTTATAAAATTTTTACTTTAATCTGGCACAAGTTATAATAGTGCATTTCTTTCTATTTTTTTGTTATTATAGCTTTTGGGTTGTTGCCTACTACTTCTTGATAGAGATAGTTCCTCTCTTTGTCAGCTCTAATGAGCTTTTCTTTTCATTTTTCATTTTTTGCATTTTCTTGTTTCTTCCTTTAAAATTTTTCTTTTACTTATTTTGTTTTTATTAGATATAGTTTTTTTTTGTTCATTATTTGGTGGTTTTGTATTGTAGATATGAAATCATTACTTTCTTTTGCTCTTAGTAAAGAAAGAAGAATTGAAGAGATTAGCTTTTTGATAGGCTAATAAAGTTTATTTAACTTGTATACAAGATGGTGCAACAGGTCACTTATAAGCATATTTTATACAGCCAAAAGATGTTATACTAACAATTTTCTTGCTACTTTGTTTAGTTTCGAAATAGTTTTTATCATTTTTAATTGTATTTTAGCTTTGGCAAAACTGTCAAAGGCAAAAACATTGATATTGACCCATTTGGACCATCGTTATTGACCTAAAAAAAATCTGTACATCGTTATTGACCCAGAA